TAGTCCCAGCTACTTGGCAGGCTGAGGCAGGAGAATTGCTTGAACCCAAGAGGCAGAGATTGCAGTGATCCGAGATCGCGCCACTGCACACTACAGCCTGGGTGACAGTGCAAGACTCCACTTCAAAAAAAAAAAAAAAAGAATTTAGTTTTATATATATGGGGGGACAAGTGCAGATGTCTTTTTTTTTCTATTTTTTATGATTTTTTATTGAGACAGTTCACTCCTATCACCTAGGTGTTATTTAATTCATTTATTAAATAACAATGAAAAGTCATTTGAATAATAATTTTACAAAAGATAATCAGTTTATAAGTTCTTTTCCATTCACTCTGGAGACTTATTTTTTTTTTTTTTATTTTTATTTTTTTTGAGACGGAGTTTCACTCATGTTACCCAGGCTGGAGTGCAGTGGTGCGATCTCGGCTCACCGCAACCTCCGCCTCCTGGGTTCAGGCAATTCTCCTGCCTCAGCCTCCTGAGTAGCTGGGATTACAGGCACGCGCCACCATGCCCAGCTAATGTTTTGTATTTTTAGTAGAGACGGGGTTTCACCATGTTGACCAGGATGGTCTCGATCTGTTGACCTCGTGATCCACCCGCCTCGGCCTCCCAAAGTGCTGGGATTACAGGCTTGAGCCACCGCGCCCGGCCTTTTGTATTTTTAGTAGAGACGGGGTTTCACCATGTCGACCAGGATGGTCTCGATCTCTTGACCTCGTGATCCACCCGCCTCGGCCTCCCAAAGTGTTGGGATTACAGGCTTGAGCCACCGCGCCCGGCCTCTGGAGACTTATTTACAGGCTATTTCTTCCAGGCTACTGAAAACATGGTGGACATTTCTGTGCCACTCACGGTATAAACAATTCTTTTTTTTTTTTTTTTTTATAGTTTAAGTTCTGAGGTACATGTGCAGATCTTGCAGGAAGTGCAGGTTTCTTACATGCATATGTTGCATGCATAGGGATGAAATCTCTGGGCTTTTTTTTAGTGTATGCATCGCCCAAATAGTGAACATTGTACCCAATAGATAGTTTTTCAACCCTCACCCTCTTCCTACCTTCTCACCTTTTATAGTCTCCAATGTCTATTATGCCACTCTGTATGTCCATGTGTACCCACTATTTAGCTTCCACTTATAAGTGAGAATATGCCATATTTGACTTATTGTTTCTGAGTTATCTCACCGAGGATAATGGCCTCCAGTTCCATCCATGTTGCTAGAAAACACATGATTTCATTCTTTTTTATGGCTGAGTAGTATTCCACTGTGTGTGTGTGCATACACACACACACACACACATTTTCTTTATCCAGTCCTCCATTGATGGACACGTTGATTTGGCTGATTTTTTTATAGTGAAATAGCTTAACTCTATGTCATGAAAATTCAAAGAGATTTTTCAAGCTGTTTCCCCTAATCTAAGAAATGTAACTCTTAGTGGTTCACAGAGGAACAGTTTGTTTACCAGTATGACATGACAACCAGTGAACTTGTGATTGCACAAGAAACCTGTTGATGGAAGAGCAGGTATTCAGATTTCTACTGGACCTGGGAATGGAGTAGATGGTAACTGGAATCTGTATTGAGCTTCCAGTGCTGAGCTGCCCAGAGTTCTGTGGAATCACATAATTTAGTGAAGACCAGCCTGATCACGTTTCAAAAATAGGGAAATTTTAGATGAATGAAGAAAATATGAAACATACTTTCATCAACTTAATCCATTTCACACTTTCAGAAGAGATCCACAGCTTTTAATGAGTATGAATTACGCTTTCAGTTTTTATGGCAGCTTTTAAAGAACAAATCTCAGGATATGTCTGAATTACCCAGCCAAAACTGTGGCTTGTTTTCAAGAGAAGCAGATTGAGATAGAAGTAAACTATGCTAGACAGCATGACACTGCTTTAAAATTTGGAAACATATATATGGATCCCAGAGCAATCCTGAAATTTTTGCTCTGTAACCTATGTTTGAGTTTACACAGCTCTGTGAATGAACTTTTTCTTCATGAAATTGCTAAATAAAGCTAAAAGCTATTTTCATGTTCAGTGGTGTAAATCTGAATTAAAATGAGTTTGGCATTTCATGACGTACTACTATAACTGTGCATTTTTGAATGAATAAAGTTGGTAAGATATATTTTATTACTTTTGAATTACATATATATATATTTTTTGAGATGGAGTGTCGCCCTGTCGCCCAGGGTGGAGTGCAATGGCACAATCTCGGCTCACTGCAACCTCTGCCTCCAGCATTCAAATGATTCTCCTGCCTCAGCTTCCCTCGAAACTGGGATTACAGGTGCCCACCACCATGCCCAGCTAATATTTGTATTTTTAGTAGAGATGGGGTTTCACCATGTTGGCCAGGCTGGTCTCGAGCTCCTAACCTTGTGATCTGCCTGCCTCAACCTCCCAAAGTGCTGGTTACAGGCATGAGCCCCTGTGCCTGGCCCTGAATAAAAATATATTTTTTTTAGACAGTGTCTCACTCTGTTGCCCAGGCTGGAGTGCAGTGGCACGATCTCTGCTCACTGCAACCTCTGCCTCCCGGGTTCAAGTGATTCTCCTGCCACAGGTTCCTGAGTAGCTGGGACTATAGGTGCCTGCCACCATGCCCGGCTAATTTTTGTATTTTTAGTAGAGACGGGTTTTCGCCATGTTGGCCAGGCTGTTTTCAAACTCCTGACCTCATGATCCACCCACCTCGGCCTCCCAAAGTGCTGGGATTACAGGCATGAACCACAATGGCTGCAACACCCTATTTTAAAATAGGGACCAAGTTATAGCTCACTGTTGTTAAAACCAAACTTTATGCACAAGTATGACCTTACTATCTTAATGGGATTTTTAAATATATTTCAGGACTGGGCGCGGTGGCTCACGCCTGTAATCCCAGCACTGTGGGAGGCTGAGGTGGATGGATCTCGAGGTCAGGAGTTTGAGACCAGCCTGACCAATACGGTGAAACCCCATCTTTTAAAAAATAAATAAATAAAAATAAATAAAATTTATTTCATATATATTGAACATTTAGTGCGTTGGATTATACAAATGTTATTTTTAGATTAGAAAATATAGAAAAATACAGTGCAATAAAATATCAATCTTAATGAACTTTAAGATATATTATTTAACAAGTATGTTTTGAATGCTTATTGAATTTCAGCCACAGGGCTGAGTGATGGGTTTTTGGGTTTTTGTTTTTTTCGTTTTGAGACAGTCTTGCTCTGTCACCCAGGCTGGAGTACAGTGGTGCCATCTCGGCTCACTGCAACCTCTGCCTCCTGGGTTCAAGCCATTCTCCTGTAGCTGGGATTGTGGCACCTGCCACAATGCCCAGGTAATTTTTGTATTTTTAGTAGAGACGGGTTTTGCCATGTTGGCCAGGCTGGTCTTGAACTCCTGACCTCAAGTGATCCACCCACCTTGGCCTCCCAAAGTGCTGGGATCACAGGTGTGAGCCACAGCACCTGGCCTACTGATGGGGTTATAAAGGTGAAGAACTAGTCTAGTGCAGAATGAAGACAGAGTAAACAGACAAGTACAATGTGATTGAGCTGTATTGTTAAATACAAGAAAAGGCTATCAGGAAGACTTTTTGGAAAAAGAAGCATCTGCACTGAGACCATAAGAATTAATAGGAATCGGGGAAAGAGCAAGAAAAAAAAAAAAAAAAACTATCAGTCAAATAAATGTGAGAGGAGAAAGGGATTATTCCAGGTAAAGAAAACAAGTTCAAGGCTTAAGAGGCAAAAGGTGGCTTGTGTGGTGGAAAAGGTGAAAGAAATTTGCGACTGGAGAGCAAGAAATAAGGTCGAGAAGGACTAAAAAAAAAGTAGACAGGGAGAGCCCAGATACTGAAGGGTCTAGACAGCCTCAGTAAGGTTTTGGAGATTTGCCGTAAAGGCAGTAGAATGCCTTTGAATTGTCTGAAGCAGGTGGTAACTTGATCAGGTCTGATTTTGGCAAAGATCACTTTTTTTTTTCTTTTCTTTTTTTTTTTTTTTTTTTTTTATACGGGGCCTTGCTCTGTCACCAGGCTGGAGTGCAATGGCACGATCTCCGCTCACTGCAACCTCCTCCCGGGTTCAAGCAATTCTCCTGCCTCAGCCTCCCTAGTAGCTGGGACTAGAGGCGCTTGCCACCACGCCCAGCTAATTTTTGTATTTTTAGTAGAGATGGGCTTCACCATGTTAGCCAGGATGGTCTCGATCTCCTGAGCTCATGAGCCGCCTGTCTTTACGGTCGTAAACCACCGCGCCTGGCCTGCAAAGATCCCTTTGAGTGCTCCGTGGAGAATGCTTTGGAAGGAAGCAAGTGTGCACTCAGCGGGACCTGTTAATGTATACATCCTGCCTGGACCTCATCATTGGACAGGGGAGGTGGGGGAGGCAGTGAAGACAAAGAAAAAGGGATGAATTTGAAAGATCTTGTTTTTAAAAAAGGTAGAATCCATAGAACTTGGCAATGGATTGGATGTGATAAGTGAGAGAGAGAAATCAGTGATGACTGCCAGGTTTCTGACTTGAACGAATGGATGGATGAAGGGAAGCCGAGTGTTTGGGGAAAGAGAAGCAAACAATAATACCAACATTTAAGACGTAAGACTAAGAAGCTTAAGGAAAGGGTAGAACCTTCAGTCTGCGACTAGCGGGGCCGACAGCGCTGGGCAGCCTCCCACGCCTTTTCCTCCGGGAGGCCCATGCAACCAGCGAACTAAGGCTAAGAACCACGTGAAGGAGACCCCACTGGGCACCAGGCGCGAGCCCTGCGCATGCGCATTGAGTCCCGGAGGCCGAGTCTGCGCAGTTAGAGGAACTCTGGCCCGTAGGCTCCCCGCCTGTGCGTCGCCCGAGCGCCCAGGCGCTGTCAAGCGCTACCTTTTTCACGTCTCCGGTAGCCCCTCCGTCCGTCCGGGACGCCGAGCCCCACCCACCGTTCCCGCCCCTTCCGTGTTTTGGTGCACACGGGTTCCGCCAGACCCAGCTGCCATTGGCTGTCAGTCGGATCCGAGAGCGACGATTGGCTTTCCTTGACCGTCCCTCAAGAGCCTCCCCGGAGATTGTCTGAGGTGGGAGAAGAGCTGAGGAGACCCGGAGCCGACGGACGGTAAGCTGGGACGTGTGCTCTGCAGGGGCTGCAGGAGGCCAAGCTCTTCCCGAGCCACCTCGGCGAGTCTTCTTGCCGCGTGGCCACGCTGGTCTGCCCTGGTCCGGTCCCCTCACCTCGACTCCAACCTCCCTGCTTTCTAGTGTAGGGGCCGCCACGCCTTAGAGGGGAGGATTCCGGGAAGCCTGCGGGGCTGCGAGTGAGAGGTTTTGCCCAACGAGACAGTCTCCTTCCTTCTGTCCGAATTCTACCTTTCCTTCGAGGCGTGGTGCGGGACCCACAGCTTAGGGGAGGCTTCCGTTTCGCCTGAACGGGGATGGGGGGGTTTCGGGGGGCGGGTTTCTCTCTGTCCTGGTCTCCCTCAGCGGGTACTTTGCTTTGGTCGTTGACTTCACATATCAGTCTTGTCTTTTTGGCCAAATTGTGAGTTCTTAAGCGTTTAGGACCTGAGCCCTCTTTTTCTTGAATACTAGAGTTCGTTCATTGTCTTGCGTTACAGTATATGCTCTCTTAAGTCTTAAGAGGGTAGAGTGATGATCATGCCCCTATCTCCTCAGAGTAGAAACAAACGACACAGAAAGAGATATTAAAGAAGGCAGGAGGGCAGTGAGAGAGAGTTAGGGAGCTTTGCCTAGGTTTCATATCATTCTATATCGCCAGGTAGCTTGCCTCCGTGGTCTTACCTAGCAGTCTAACAGCAGGTGTATGTTTAGAATATTTGCGCTCAGCACTGCGCTCGGCACTGTGTAGGGACACAGGCAGTTCTGATATGGTTTCTTCTGAGAAGCTCCTGGTTGTCCAGTTGGGTAAATGAGACTACAATACATAAAACGACGTGTCAATATAAAAATAGGGTTGAGGTTTTATGGTGTCACCTGTGCCAGCCATAGAACCAAGGAGCAAGAGTAGATTCAGGGATAGGGTAGTTTAGAAAGGCTTCCTGGAATGTGATTATCTCCTGATATTTATTGAGCACCTGGGGTGTACAAAGCTCTGCGCCGAATCTGAGAATGAAAAGTGAATAAGTGATGGCCACTGTCCTGAGAAACTCCTAGTCTAGGGGAAACAAATTTCATTTCATTGATAATGAAGATGTGTATAGATGCTGTGGGCAGCAGATGGGATGTGCCAGCTGTACCTGCATGCATTGGGGAAGGGGTCATCAGAGAGGACTTTTGGGTTTGAAGGGCGAATAGAAGTTGCGTAGGTAGGCCTGGCGCGGTGGCTCATGCCTGTAATCCCAGCACTTTGGGAGGCCAAGGTGGGCAGCAGATCACTTGAGGTCAGGAGTTCGAGACAAGCCTGGCCAACATGGTGAGACCCCCATCTCTATTAATATTACAAAAATGAGCTGGGCATGGTGGCATGTGCCTGTAGTCCCCGCTGTAATACTTTGGAGACTAAGTCACGGGAATCACTTGAACATTGGGAGACGGAGTTTGCATTGATCCCAGATTGTACTACTGCACTCTAGCCTGGGGGACAGAGCAAGACTCTGTCTCAAAAAAAAAAAAAAAAAGTTGCCTAGGCAGAGAGTTTTAGGGGAATGTAGAGTATTCAGAGACAAAGATGACTGAATCAGAGGAAGAGGGAATGAAGTATAGGTGAGGAAGCCAGAGAACATCATCGTGTGGGAGAAAGAGCCTGATCTTTGGATTGGAATGAGGGTGCTCTTAACATCAGATGAAGTGTAGAGAGGATTCACCACAGGGCTGACACACCATAGCCTCTCAATAGATGTTCGTTTTTCTTTCTTTTTTTTTTTTTTTTTTTGAGATGGAGTTTCGCTCTTGTTACCCAGGCTGGAGTGCAATGGCGCGATCTCGGCTCACCGCAACCTCCGCCTCCTGGGTTCAGGCAATTCTCCTGCCTCAGCCTCTTTAGTAGCTGGAATTACAGGCACGCGCCACCATGCCCAGCTAATTTTTTGTATTTTTAGTAGAGACGGGGTTTCACCATGTTGACCAGGATGGTCTCGATCTCTTGACCTCGTGATCCACCTGCCTCGGCCTCCCAAAGTACTGGGATTACAGGCTTGAGCCACCGCGCCCGGCGATGTTCGTTTTTCTACCTAGACCTGGAGAAGTAAAATTGAGACCCCTTTGAGAAGGGGTTTCATACTGTAGGTGGTATACAGTCAGAGGAGGTGTGGGATTTTATGTATTTTTTTTTTTTGAGATGGAGTTTTGCTCTCCTTGCCCAGGCTGGAATGCAATGGCACCGTCTCGGCTCACTGCAACCTCCACCTCCTGGGTTTTCAAGCAATTCTCCTGCCCCTGCCTCCTGAGTAGGTGCGATTACAGGTGTGTGCCACCACACTTGGCTAATTTTGTATTTTTAGTAGAGATGAGATTTCTCCATGTTAGTCAGGCTGGTCTTGAACTCCTGACCTCAGGTGATCTGCCCACCTTGGCCTCCCAAAGTGCTGGGATTACAGGCATGAGCCACTGTGTCTGTTTTTTTTTTGTTTTTTTTTTTTTTCTTTTAGACAGGGTTTGGCTCTGCCATCTGGGATGGAATACAATGGTGTGATCTTGGCTCACTACAACCTTTACCTCCTGGGTTCTAGCCATCCTCCCACCTCAGCTTCCCAAGTAGCTGGGACTATAGGTGCGTGCTACCATACCTGACTGATTTTTGTATTTTTAGTAGAGACAGAGTTTCGCCATGTAGCCCAGGCTGGCACAAACTCCTGAGCTCAAGCAATCTGCTCGCCTTGGCTTCCCAAACTGCTGGGATTGTGAGCCACTGCACTCGGCCCAGCAGTCAATATTTGTAATAGGATTCACTGTTAGTCTGTGAGCAGCTCAGCAACCCCATGTACACCCCAGAGTGGTAAGGGTGACTGGATTCTTCTCTGAGGAGGAGAAAAGACTATGTAGGCATAATAGGTATAGTAGGTTCAGAAAAGCCTGTATTGGAGAAATAAAGGATCTTCTGGTTTTTAATATTTTCTGTTTTTTTCCTTTTAGTATTCAATAAGGCCTTTTTCAGAGTTCCCACCTCTGTCAGGTTGGCTAGAGAGAGCAACTTGGCGGGGTCAGCAAGAATCAGTGAGAGTTTCTGAGAAGTGACACTCAGGAGACAGAGCCAAGGCATTTAGTGTCCTCTCTCTACCAGAAGTTTTTCACCCTCTGTTCTGTGTTTTGTTTATTCTTTTATTGTTACTCAAAGTGTGCTTCTGAAACTGCTTGTATCAGAACTGGGGTGCTGACTAAAAAGGGCAGATTTCTAGGTTTAACCGCTGCCTTCCTAAATCCGAACTTCTCTGGCAGGTGCTGGATAACTCTGCATTTGTCTGCAGATCTGTAATCCCAGTACCGTGGGAGGCTGAGGTGGGTGGATCACCTGAGGTCAGGAGTTTGAGACCACCCTGGCCATCTTGATGAAATCCCATCTCTACTAAAAATAAAAGAATTAGCTAGGTGTGGCGACATACCTGTTATCCCAGCTACTCAGGAGGCTGAGGCAGGTGAGTCGGTTGAACCCGGGAGGAGGAGGTTGCAGTGAGCCGAGATTGTACCCCTGCACTCTAGCCTGGGTGACAGAGGGAGACTCTGTCTCAAAAAAATAAAAATAAAATAAAATTGAGAACCTTTAGGTTTTGTTTTGTTTTGTTTTGTTTTGAGAGAAAATCTCACTCTGTCACCCAGGCTGGTGTACAGTGGCACGATCTCAACTCATTGCAGCCTCTGCCTCCCAGGTTCAAGTGATTCTCCTGCCTCAGCCTCCCAAGTAGCTGGGATCACAGGCTTATGCCACCATGCCTGGCTAATTTTTGTATTTTTAGTAGAGATGAGGCAGGGTTTTACCATGTTGGCCGGGCTGGTCTTGAACTCCTAACCTCAGATGATCCACCCACCTTGGCCTCCCAGAGTGCTGGGATGATAGGTGTGCACCACTGTTCCTGGCCAAGAACCTTCAGTTTTGTATTTATCTTTTTCAATACATATCCATTACAGACTGGATGCAGTGGCTTATGCCTGTAACTCTAACCCTTTGGGAGGCTAAGACAGGTGGATTGCTTGAGTCCAGGAATTCGAGACCAGCCCGGCAACATTACAAAACCCTGTCACTACAAAAAAAAAAAAATACAAAAATTAGACAGATGTGGTGGTGCATGTCTGTGGTCCCAGTTACCCTGGAGGCTGAGGTGGGAGGATCTCCTGACCCTGGAGAGGTCGAAGCTTAGTGAGCTGTGATTGTGCCACTGCACTCCAGCCTGGGTGACAGAGTGAGACTCTGTCTCAAGGAAAAAAAAATATTACATGCCTAAGCATTCCTAGCACTGTATAGACACCCAAGGTGCAGTATAAACTAGACAGATACGACTTTTCATGTTCAAATGGAATCTGCATTTTGACAGAAGATATTAGCAGAGTAGTGGAGTAAACCATTGGATAGGTTAGGTAAAAGCAGATTGTATGACACTTTGAAAGTCTTGTCAGGGGACTTATGATTCAGTAAGAAATAAGGAGCTTCTAGGCTCATCTGCAGGCTATATGGAGTAGAAAGAGTATAAACTCTAGAGTCAGCCCAACATGATCCTACCATAACCCCTAGTGTGGCCATGAGCAAGTCAGTTGATCTCTGGAACTTCAGGTGTTTATCTATAAATGATGTTAAAAATGGCACCTACCAGCTGGGCGAGGTGGCTCACGACTGTAATGCCAGCACTTTGGGAGGCCGAGGCAGGTGAATCACCTGAGGTCAGGAGTTCGAGACTAGCCTGACCAACATGAGGAAACCCTGTCTCTACTAAAAATACAAAAATTAGCATGGCTGGGTGGCAGGTACCTGTAATGCCAGCTGCTCGAGAGGCTGAGGCAGGAGAATTGCTTGAACCCGGGAGGCAGAGGTTGTAGTGAGCCGAGATCAAGCCATTACACTCCAGCCTGGGAGATAAGAGCAAAACTCAGTCTCCAAAAAAAAAAAAAAAAGCAAAATAAATAAATAAATAAAAGCACCTAACTCAAAGGGTGGTGTTGGTAATTAAATGACATAATGCAAATAAAATGCTTACTGTGGTGCTTGATATATAGTAAGTGTGAAATTAAAAACAAAAAGTTGTATCTTCAGAATGTTCAGAAGTTAAGAGTTAAATTCTTGATCAAGGTCATACCACTCGTAGGTAGTAGACAGTAGAGCCAGGATTTGAACTTTGATCCTTCTCAAAAGCCATCTGTTTGAACCTGAGCATTGAGCATTGTTCTGCCTCACTTAGGAATAATTCCTTCTTGGTAGATTGCTCTGAAGCTTCATGGGAAAATGTCTGTTAAAACATTTAGCTCAGTGCGTGACACACACTCAATAGTGTTAGTTTTGTTTTCTCTTCCACAAACACCAGACATCTTCCAGTGATTTAAAGAATTACCCCATCCTTACTGAAAAAGCACAGGGTTCCTCATGGATCACTTGGAACAATACCTGCTGATTCTAGGCATGCTGCCTGCCCAGCTTTTTGCCCCCAGCAGCACTTGGGGGCAATTCCTGCAGCTGTGGATTTCTTCCTCTTCCTCTAGGGTGAAGGCCATGCCACCTCCTGGGAAAGTTCCCCGGAAGGAGAATCTGTGGCTACAGTGTGAGTGGGGTTCCTGCTCCTTTGTGTGCTCAGCCATGGAAAAGTTCTTTGAGCATGTCACTCAGCACCTACAGCAGCATCTGCACAGCTCTGGAGAGGAGGAGGAAGAAGAAGAGGAGGATGACCCCCTTGGTAAGAGAGCAGGACACAGGAAGGGGAGGAGCTCAAGGAAAGGTGGAAAATCTGACTTTCCTTTCCTTACAGGGAGAAGGCAGTCTGAGAGAATGGTGGTTTATTTTTTTTAACTGTGTTCTTGTCATGGATAAAAACATTGTAAACTCATTTATAGAAAATTCAGTCAGCAAGGATATAAGGAATAAATTTGCTATCAAGAAGTAATTGCTGACAGTACTTTAGTGAACATTATTTTTGACATCTCTCTGAATATGCTTTTTTTTTAAAAAAAAGATCATTCTGTACAAACTGTTAGCAACGTGTGTGTGTGTGTGTGTGTGTGTGTGTGTGTGTTTTGTTTGTTTGTTTGTTTTTTTACTCTGCTAGTATTCCCAGTTTTTTTCTTCTTTTACTGCAACCATCAGTCAGGAATACATCTTATTTTTTGGAGACAGGGCTACACCCTGTCACCGAGGATGGAGTGCAGTGTCACAATTGTAGCTCACTGCAGCCTTCAACACTCAAGGGATCCTCCTGCCTCAGCCTCCTAAGTAGGTAGCTAGGACTGCAAGCATTTATCACCACAACCAATTTTTTTTAATTTTTATTTTTTTAGAGACAGGGTCTTACTTATGTTGCCCACTGATCTCAAACTCCTGGTCTCGAGCAGTCCTGCCACCTCAGCCTTCTGAGTAGCTGGGACTGTTAGCTTGTGCCACCAAGTCCAAGTCCAACCCCACTCCCACCTCCCACTTTTTTTTTTTTTTTTTTTTTGGAGGCGGAGTCTTGCTCTGTTATGCTGGAATGCAGTGGCTTGACCTCAGCTCACTGCAACCTCTGCCTCCTGTGTTCAAGCAATTCTTCTGCCTTAGCCTCCTGAGTAGCTGGGACTTGAGGTATGCCACCACGCCCAGCTAATTTTTTTACTTTTAGTAGAGACCAGGTTTCACCATGTTAGCCAGGATGGTCTCCATCTCTTGACCTTGTGATCTGCCCACCTCAGCCTCCCAAAGTGCTGGGATTACAGGTGTGAGCCACTTTGTCTGGCCTCACTGCCTACTTTTTTAACCTTTCTCTGACTTATGTTTTAGGTATGCCTTTTATCAATATCAAATAACTGGGATTTTAATAAAATCCAATCGGAAAACAATAACAATAGTGAACTCTTGTATAGTACCTACTGTGTGTCAAGTATTGCTGAGTACTTTTTAACCTACATTAAAGCATTATTTTCCACAGATCCTATGAGATAGGCACTATCATTATACCCATTTTACAAATAAGGAAACCAGAGACACAGAGGAATAAAATAACTTGCCCAAGGTCATGGTACTAATAAGTGGCAGGATTTAAAAAAAAACAAAAAAAAAAAACAATTGTTTTTTAGAGACAGAGTCTCCCTATGTTGTCCATTCCAGGTTGATTTCAGACTCTTGTCCTCAAGTGATCCTCCTGCCTCAGCATGCTGAGCAGCTAGGACTATAGGCATGGGCCATTACAGCTGGCAGGAATACATTTTTCTTTTATTTTTTGGTATATTTTTATTTTGCCTGTGACACAGCCCTCGGGAGTTTCTGAGAACATGTGTCCCAGGAATACATTTTTTTTTTTTTTTTTTTGAGATGAAGTTTCGCTCTTGTTACCCAGGCTGGAGTGCAATGGCGCGATCTCGGCTCACCGCAACCTCCGCCTCCTGGGTTCAGGCAATTCTCCTGCCTCAGCCTCCTGAGTAGCTGGGATTACAGGCACGCGCCACCATGCCCAGCTAATTTTTTGTAGTTTTAGTAGAGACGGGGTTTCACCATGTTGACCAGGATGGTCTCGATCTTTTGACCTCGTGATCCACCCGCCTCGGCCTCCCAAAGTGCTGGGATTACAGGCTTGAGCCACCGCGCCCGGCACAGGAATACATTTTGTATCATAACCTTGTACACAAAAGTTATTGAAATAATACTTTCTTTTTACTAAATGCTTTCTGCGATGTTCTATTTTATTTAAAAAGAAAATGTGGCTTGCAGTTCACTAAACTGATTTCATCACCACTAGTGGGTAACAACACTGTCTGAAAAACTCTATTCTACAGAAAATATGGAGGCAGCTCTCCTCTCTCCCCAAATTTTTAGTCTGGTGACTGTGAACCATAACTGATAGTTTCAAAAGTCAAGTCATATTTATACAAAAGAAAAATTGGGGAATGATTATACTTTCTAAAATATGTATGTTTCAAAACAAGTTAATTCCTATAAAGCACTGGAAATAGATTGCTTAGAGATGCTAGAGAGATAGGAAATGGATTGGAAGAGTTGATGGGGCCTTCTTGGAGAAAGGAGATCTTGAGCAAAACATGAGGGGAGGGAGGATTGGTGGTTTTATAAGAAGTGGGAGGTGTCTGAGATTGAGAGGCAGCATATTCATCAGGAACTGCAGAAACTCAAGTCAGAGGTCTTGCATGCCAGGCATTTCTGCTGTCTCTGTTTCTGGCATAGGCCTTGCATATACTCTTACCTCTCCCTAGACCACACTTCTTCACTTATTTACAGATACTCGTCCTTCATCCTTCAGAGTTCAACATGTGGACACTTCTCAGAACACCCACGTCTACATCAAATTACTTCTGTTTAATACTTTCATAGCACCACATATATCCCCCCTTTGTAACACTCATCACTGGTCACAGTTTTATATTTATAGATGTGATTATTTGATGATTATGCTTTCTCCCTGACTGAAAGCTATGTGAGGGCAAGGAGTGGGACAGTTTTTACTTGTTATAGTCCCTAAACCTGGCACACAATTTATGGTCATTAAATACTGGTATTTGCTAAATGAATTCCTGGTAATTTGGTTAGAGTCCAGCCTCCTCACTCTCTGCTTAGTGCTGCAGGTGGAAGGTGACTTGAGCCTTGGAAAGTGTCAGACTCTTCCTTTTAAACCCCTTTCTACAGAGGAAGAATTCTCCTGCTTGTGGCAGGAATGTGGCTTTTGTTCTCTGGACAGTTCTGCTGACCTCATCCGCCATGTCTACTTCCACTGCTACCACACCAAGCTGAAACAGTGGGGGCTGCAGGCCTTGCAAAGCCAGGCTGACCTCGGCCCCTGCATCCTGGACTTCCAGAGCCGGAACGTCATCCCTGACATCCCTGACCACTTCCTGTGTCTGTGGGAGCACTGTGAGGTCAGCAGGCAGTGCCAGTAATCGGGGTGGAAGGAAGCTGGGGATCTTAACTCTGATGCCTTGTCCCTTTCAGGAATGCTTTACATTTCCAAGATTCCTGCTAGTATCTCTTCTCCATTTCTTCTGCTCTCTTTAAATTTTTATACAGAGGCTCTTAGTCTGAAGCCCAGGCTAGAGTGCAGTGGTGCACTCATAGTTCACTGTTACCTTGAACTCCTGGGCTCAAGCAATCTTCCCACCTCAGCCTCCCAAGTAGCTAGGACTGTAGGCATGTACCACCATGCCCAGCTAATTTCTAAATTTTTTGTAGAGAAAGGGTCTGGGTATGTTTCCCAGGCTGGTCTCGAACTCTTGGCCTCAAGTGATTCTCCTGCCTCAGTCTCTCAAAGTACTGGAATTACAGGGTTGAGCCACCATGCCTGGCCACTCCATTTCTGTGTAGCTCCTTTCCACAAACTTTCCCATCCCCATCAGGTTAATTTGGGAGACAGCCAAGAATTATTTGGGCACATAGGGGTGATTTCCTCCACCCACCCTCAGTCCTCACCCCAAGTTGCCCCTGGCACAGAGTTCCTTCGACAATCCTGAGTGGTTTTATCGCCATGTGGAAGCCCACAGTCTGTGCTGTGAATATGAAGCAGTCGGCAAGGACAACCCTGTGGTGCTGTGTGGCTGGAAAGGTAGGGCTACTCCTTAACTTCTGGCCTCTGGAAGAAACCTTGGGGTTGGTGAAGAGCTAGGACAGGAAGGGATGGGAGTCCTCTAGGGACAAGGTTGGCTACTGGCTGGAGAGTCTCAGGGGTACTAGATCCTAGCCAAAACTGGGGTTTTGTGGCTGGAGACTGACAGGGTTCCTTCCCAGGCTGTACCTGCACCTTCAAGGACCGCAGTAAACTTCGGGAGCATCTCCGCAGCCATACCCAGGAGAAAGTGGTAGCCTGCCCCACCTGTGGGGGCATGTTTGCCAACAATACCAAGTTCTTAGATCACATCCGTCGCCAGACCTCATTGGATCGTAAGTAGTCAGAGGAAGTGGGGTGGATGCAGGCTGTGCTGCTTGGAATGGGTTAGGGGCATGTGTCTAGTGGGGGTGGCTGCTGAAGAGACCTGCCTCTTGGCTCCCTCTTCTTTTTGGGCTCAGGTACCTCCCATAGTCTCTTTGCTGATTCAGATTTATAGACATTGTTATTCAGTACTTACTGTGTGTCATATCAGTTATATCAGGGAATCCTCACAACAGCCCCATGAGGTAGGCTTCTTATCCCCCTTTTTGCAGATGAGGAAACTGAGGCTCAGAAAGGTTAAATCACTTACCTGAGATCACACAGCTAGTAAGTGGTGAAGCTGGAATTCTAACTCAGGTTCTCCAAGTCCCATGCTCTTTCCATGATACTGTGTCCATGCATAGCTCCCTAAGCTCCCCTTTTCTCCTTGGGTGGTTCCCTTCTGCCTGGGATGGTTCTCCTTTCCTTTTTGTGCCTCTCCACTATCCCCTACAGCCCTTCTTTCTTCTGCCTGCCCCACCCCAGAGCAGCACTTCCAGTGTTCTCACTGTTCCAAGAGATTTGCCACAGAGCGGCTGTTGCGGGACCACATGCGCAACCATGGTGAGTGCCTGCAGCCCCCAGTCTCCCTGCTGCCCTCCAATGTTCTACAAGTTCTCACATCACAGCCTCCTCTCTGCTCCTCTCAGTGAATCACTATAAGTGCCCTCTGTGTGACATGACTTGTCCACTGCCTTCCTCTCTCCGCAACCACATGCGCTTTCGTCACAGTGAGGACCGGCCCTTTAAATGTGACTGTTGTGACTACAGGTAAGGGGAACCAGGGACCAGAAAACAGTTTGTGTTCCAGAGTTCCCCATGTCCTCCAATCCCTCCTGATTTCTCATGGCAGCTGCAAGAATCTTATTGACCTCCAGAAGCACCTGGATACCCACAGCGAGGAGCCAGCCTACAGGTGTGATTTTGAGAACTGCACCTTCAGTGCCCGTTCCCTCTGCTCTATCAAGTCCCATTACCGCAAAGTACATGAAGTGAGTGAGGCCGTTGGTGGGAAGGGCTAGTGGAGGTATGGGCGACCCTGGGGCGAAAAGTTGGTCTCATTTCTCCCTTCCCCATCAGGGAGACTCTGAGCCAAGGTACAAATGTCATGTGTGTGACAAATGCTTCACACGGGGTAACAACCTCACCGTGCACCTTCGTAAGAAGCACCAGTTCAAGTGGCCTTCAGGGCATCCCCGTTTTCGGTATGTCTCTCAACCCTCCTTCCCAGATTAACACACTTGTTTTTATACCTTTTCAACAAGTTTTAAAAACCTTAATTTGATGGTGGTTTTATGTCTACCGTCTCCATTTAGATTCAGAGAACCCTAAGAATAGTGGGGTAGCAAAGCTTATTTTTCTGTTTTTTTTGAATCTTGTAGGCATGGTGCCAAACCCAATAAATGGTGCCAAAAAGTCCTGCAGCCAGAACTAGAGGGTTCTGATCCTTGGCTCCAAGGCCTTCTCATAAATCCTTTGACACTCTCATCCTCCAACACAGTCAGTCAGTCTGTGTGTTTCTCTGATTGGGTTTCTACATAAAACTTTCCATTTTAAGTAATGATCTTTCCATCTTGCTTTTTCTTCTACATGTTCTAATAAAGACCTTTTTTGTCTTTAATTCCTGTCACTTGGAATTCAGGACTTCTTCCATCCCTCATGTTTGTTCCTTACTTTGCCAGCCTCCAGGCCATTTCTGTATCCCCCTTTGCTGCCCTTTATGCTCCTACCTCACCAGGTACAAGGAACATGAAGATGGCTACATGCGGCTGCAGCTGGTTCGCTATGAGAGTGTAGAGCTGACACAGCAACTGTTGCAGCAACCACAAGAGGGATCGGGCCTGGAAGCGTCACTGAATGAGAGCAGCCTGCAGGGCATTATTCTAGAAACAGTGCCAGAGGAGCCAGGACGTAAAGAAGAGGAAGAGGGCAAGGGCGGCGAAGGGACAGCCCTCTCAGCCTCTCGGGACAACCCCAGTTCTGTCATCCATGTGGTAAATCAGACCAGTGCTGAAGGCCAGCAAGAGATTGTTTACTATGTGCTCTCTGAAGGCCCGAGAGAGCCTCCCCCAGCCCCTGAGCCACCCTCAGGGGATATCATGGAAAAGTTTCAAGGAATAGCTGAGGAGCCAGAGATCCAGATGGTGTGAAGGCTGCAGAGCCAGACCACTTCTTCCCCAGGCCCCAGAATTTGAGCCAGGCAAGTGGCAGTGTCCCTTGGGCAGCCGTTGCCAATGGATGCCTTTAGGAGTGGTGCTGAGAGGAGTGTGGTCCATTCTGGCCCAAGTTTGCATCATTGTGCAGACTCTAAAGACTTCCCGTTTCTGCCAGACTGCATTTTGTGAGGAGCCTGAGGACTTTGTATTCTTGAGGGGCTCCTGGATTTGTGTGTTCTTGTTAAAGGGGCTGTTATCAGACTTAACCATAACCCCCAAGACATGCTTGACAGTGATTAAATCTTTAGCTCACATCCATTCCCATCTTTAGAGGTCCTTAGGCCCAAGGGTGGCATGTGATGCGTCGCTACAAGGGTCCTTTCTTCATCACCAGCCAAGGCATTGAGAACCAATTAACCATTTTCCTCTTAAGGTTTCCTCTACAACCCCAAGGACTTTCATGGTTATCCTCAGGGACAGAATTGGAGGCATTGAGTGTGTTTATTAATGATTGTTTTTGGTAATAAAAGAAATGCTTGAACTCTTACTCATTTCTTCTTACATTTGGTGGCAGTTTACTAGGTAATGAGGAGATACAGCTATTCAGAAGAGGAGCTGAATGATTAGGCTTGTTCCCCTTCTGGTGACTCAGGTGGTTTGTTTTTTGTTTGCTTAACTGTCCTGTTGTCCTTTCCTCCGCCCCTTGGTGAAACGTCTCTATTTCTTCTCAGACTATATGCCATTTCCGTGGAGGCCCCAGGTCTTTGGCTGTGAGTGGGCAGTAGTGGTGTTACAGAATTTTAGAATGAACAAGAATGGGCTCATCAGGATAGGGCAGCTGACCATGGCCTCACTCTCAATACTGATTAGAACCCAGTGCCTCTAGGGTAGGGATTTTTTTTTTTTTTTTTTTTAGACAGAGGCTCGCTCTGTTGCCCAGGCTGGGCATGGGGTAGGGGTTCTTTACCTGTGGGAGTGGGAGGGAAGCTGGGGGTGGAGATTTGGAAGCCTCTCAGGGAAGAGAGACAGTCAAGTGGTCCAGGAACCAAACTAGAAAATTGTGTGTCTGAATGCATTTTCCTGGGGAAAGGATCAGTTTTTTACTAGATTCTCAAAGAGACTGAAACCTCCCAAAATAACCATTCTTTTTTTTTTTGAGATCGAGTCTCACTCTGTAGCCCAGGCTGGAGTACGGTGGCATGATCTTGACTCGCTGCAACCTCTGTCTCCCGGGTCCCAGTTCAAGCAATTCTTCCTCAGCCTCCCAAGTAGCTGGGATTACAGACATGAGCCACCATGCCCAGCTAATTTTTGTATTTTTTAGTAGAGATGGGGTTTTACCACGTTGGCCAGTCTGGTCTTGAACTCGTGACCTCATGATCCGCCCACCTTGGCTTCCCAAAGTGCTGGGATTATAGGCATGAGCCACCGCACCTGGCCATAAGAACCATTCTTTAGGCTGTTTCAGCTACTTCTCAGCATGCTGTGTCCATTTTTATGGTCTGCTGCTACGCTGGAGAGGTCAAGGAAATAGTCTTGGGTGGACAGGAAGCTACCCAAAAAGGACCTCTGGGCCTTTTTTTTTTTTTTTAAAGACCTAATTCTATTATTAGAAAACCTGTGTGTGTCTATTTGTGGAAAGGAAAAAAAACAATCTCTTCATCAATCCCATCAGCCATTTAGTGAGTTCCTACTATAGTCCAGGCACAGGTACTAAGGGTACAAAGATGAATAAAACCTAGGACTTCCCTGAAGGGACTTGCAATGTAGAAGCAAGGAAAGACTAGGTAAGCTGGGTGATAGAAGTTTAGAATAGGGTACATTTAGAAGGTTCCAAATAGGAGTAGGTGGTATTACCTGGGCAAGGAGTCAGGAAAGGTTTCATCCAGGAAGAGACCTTCCACCTAACCAAGACTACATGAAGACTTTAAGGTTCTAAACTCTGAAAAGATTGTCATGTCCCATTTTTCATATGTAATCAGAATGAAAATATTCTGAAACATTTAAGAAAGTTCAACATCATTATACTTAAGACATATACTGTATATAGGTTATCAAATTCTGTTTCTAATTTTTTCTTTCATTTTTCAGTTCCCTTGTTTTACTGGTGTTCTAAGCACTAGCTTGGGCTGCCCCTTGAGTAATGCAGCACGAATGACTTTATCCATTCTTCCATGAATAGTGCCTTCGGGAACAGGCCAGCATTCTATGAAAAGGGCCTTCCCTGGCTGGGCATGGTGGTTCACACCTGTAATCTCAGCACTTTGGGAGGCCAAGGCGGGTGGATCATGAGTGCAGGAGATTGAGACCATCATGCCTAATACGGTGAAACCGTGTCTTTACTGAAAATACAAAAAATTAGCTGGATGTGGTGGCACATGCCTGTGGTTCCAGCTACTTGGGAGGCTGAGGCAGGAGAATCGTTTGAACCTGGGACAGAGGTTACAGTGAGCCGAGATCGCGCCACTGCACTCCAGCCTGGGCAACAGAGCAAGACTCCATCTCAAAAAGAAAAAAGGGCCTTGCCTACTAGTCTCAGTCAGGCCCACACCAAATCCCATTGCTCTATCTATCTGGACCATGGAGATAGCAGAAGAGATTCTGGTCTGGTGCCATGTGATCCCATTCCCTAGGAGAAGGGGTGACTTGGGATTCTGGGATCAGTAGGCATGACTTAGAAAGTAGTGGACTGGGAGTGAGGAGTCATTGTTAAGTAGCCTAGGCAGCCAGAGGCTTCTGGAAGGATACTGAAACTGCACTGGATGACAGTGGGCTCCCACCAGCAGCGAGGGAGGAGGGTGACTATCCTAATTTGGTTACCTTAGAGTTTCATCTAGAGTCAACCCTGGTCCCAGCATCATGGTATCTGAAGATTAAGGAGACACCCTGTCTTAGTCTTCCTTAAAGGGACTAGGGACAGGAGAGAAGGCAGGTGGGCCAGGAGTTGGAAGCAGATACTTGTTTTCTCTTATTTGGGACAAGTCCACAACCGCAAAGGACTTAGAAGAACTGGGTGGATATAAAAAAGTGTCAACTATGGCCAGGTGCAGTGGCTCATGCCTATAATCCTAGCAGTTTGGGAGGCTGAGGTGGGCAGACTACTTGAGATCAGGCATTCGAGACCAACCTGGCCAACATGGGGAAACTTCGTCTTTAGTAAAAATACAAAAATTAGTCGGTGTGGTGGCACGTGCCTGTAGTCTCAGCTACATGGGAGGCTGAGGCAGGAGAATTGCTTGAGCTTGGGAGGCAGAGGTTGGAGTGAGCTGAGATCATGTCACTGCACTCTAGCCTGGGCGACAGAGCAAGACTCTGTTTCAAAAAAAAAAAAATGTCAACTGAAAAGGAAAACTGAAAAAGGGGCCAGGTACAGTGGCTCATGCCTGTAATCCCAGCACTTTGGTAGGCCAAGGTAGGTGTATCACTTGAGCCCAGGAGTTCACAACTAATCTGAGTGACATGACGAAACTCCATCTCTACAAAAAATACAAAAATTAGCCCAGGGATGGTGGTGCATGCCTGTAGTACCAGCTACTTGGAAGGCTGAGGTGAGAGAATTGCCTGAGCCCAGGGAAGTTTAGGCTGCAGTAAGCTGTGATTGTACCACTGCACTCCAGCCTGGGTGACGGAATGCTGTCTAAAAAAAAAAAAAAAAAAAAAAAAAAAAAAAAAAACCAGACCCTGTCAAAAAAAAAAAAATAAGAATAAAATACAGGAGCTGAGGATATTTCTAGATTTTGGGTGGGAAGAACATAGAGAACAAGTAGATAAAACTTGGAAAGGAATGGAGTAGAGAGAAGGAGGTAGGAATGGGAGTGGATGTGGGTTTTGTTTATAGGCGTGAGGGGGATTTCATGCTTGGTGGTCTCTATTATTTCATTGATAAAGTAGGAATTAAAGTTATTGAGGATAACCTGTTGGATTAAGGGTTTATAGGAATGGACACATTTTAGAAATGCCATTAACAGATATAGGAGTGAGATAGAAGACCTGAAGACCCAGCTAAGGTTGAAGACCAAGATCAGGCCTTCAACCTGATCCTGCAGTTGTCACTTCAATACAACGATACAATTTTGATATATGCATACAATGTGTAATCAGGGTAATTAGGCTATCCAACACCTCAAACATTTATCATTTCTTTTTTTTTTTTTTTTTTTTTGAGACAGAGTCTCGCTCTGTCGCCCAGGCTGGAGTACAGTGGCACGATCTCGGCTCACTGCAACCTCTGCCAACTGGGTTCAAGCAATTCTCCTGCCTCAGCTTCCCGGGTAGTTAGAATTAGGGGCTCGCACCATCACACCCAACTAATTTTTGTATTTTTAGTAGAGACGGGATTTCACCATTTTGGCCAGGCTGGTGTCGAGCTCCTGACCTCAGGTGAGATCTACCCGTCTCAGCCTCCCAAAGTGCTGGGATTACAGGCATGAGCCATGGCACCTGGCCTATCGTTTTTTAAAAAAGCAACAGCAACAGCAGAGACTCTGCCTTGTCTCTGAGGGGTCAGGAGAGGCAATCAAGTTACCTTTCCATGGCCTCCACTCCAGTGCCTATGCATATTTTTCCTTCCTGCCTTGGGGAGCTGTGAGAGGACTGGAGGGCTTTGCTGCTGCATATTGGCAGGAACCCTGAAGCCAGCTGAGTGGGCGGGGCAGGGTGGGGTTTGCCATCAGTCTCCTCCTTATCTACCCCTCCCTCCTGGTCCTGGGCTGCATCTCTCCAAGTGACCAGCAGAGGGGCCTTCATTAGCAAAGACACTTCAAAAGCATTCTGTCTAGAGGTGACAGACTGTCATGGTGGGCAAGGGAGGCACAGTGGAAGAGGGACCTGGGATGGTGGAAGCAGAACTGGTCAGTTCCAATATCCCACTAGTCGAATTCCTTTCTGCCCCCATAGGACCCTGCTAACCCTCCTTTTTTTTATAGGCCCACAAAGCTGCTTACCAACTGCTTCTCCCACAAATCCCTGCCCAGAGCAGCCTGTGTCTGTTAGATTAGCTCCTGGCACTAAGCTGAGATGGGAATTTTCTGCTTCTGCCTTGTTTCTCTTAAGCCAATTATCATCAACCCTTACATGTCTAGGCATAGGGAAACATGCCCTGGATGGAGGCTCTGTCCTGGTGGTGGGGGTGAGGGGGTCTAGGGTAGGAGTTGGGAGGATCCTAGAGAAAGGGGAAAATCCGGCCGGGCGCGGTGGTTCACGCCTATAATCCCAGCACTTTGGGAGGCCGAGGTGGGTGGATCATGAGATCGAGACCATCCTGGTCAACATGGTGAAACCCCCTCTCTACTAAAAATACAAAAATCAGCTGGGCATGATGGCGCGCGCCTGTAGTCCCAGCTACTCAGGAGGCTGAGGCAGGAGAATTGCTTGAACCCAGGAGGCAGAGGTTTCGGTGAGCCAATATTGTGACACTGTACTCCAGCCTGGGTAACAAGAGCGAAACTCCACCTCAAAAAAAAAAAGGGGGGGAGAATCCATTTCAGGGAATGGGAGGAGGTCTGTTTGGAGGAATAGGGGAGGATCCACCTAGACATTGAGAGAAAGTCTGTGGTGGGAAGTAGGGTGTTTGTTCTGGGGATGGGAGGACTAGACCAAGGAAAGAAGGTTCTTTTAGGCAATGGTTCTCAAAAGGTGGTCCCTGGACTAGCAGCATCAGCATCACCTGAGAACTCATTAGGATGTAAATTCTCTGGCTCCACCCCAGATACTGAATCAGACACTCTAACTCTGGGAGTGGAGCCCAGTAATCTAATCTGTTTGTTTGTTTGTTTGTTTTGTTTTTGAGACAGAGCCTTGCTCTGTCGCCCAGGCTGGAGTGCAGTTACAGGGTCTGCTTTAGGCGTTGGAAGTGTGTGTTCTCAGGAATCACAGGTCCATCCTGGGGGATATGTGGTGGGAGTGGGGAGTATCTCTAGGATGGAGAGGGTCTGTGTTAGTGGATCTGTGGAAGGCTGGAAAAATTCTGTATCCTAGACTACAACCTTTCTAATATCTGTTAAGGGGAACTGAGAAAACCTGCTTTATAAAGTGGGAAGGTGACAATAGGTAATGAGGAAGTTTTTTATTTTTCTTTTCTTTTTTTTTTTTTTTTGAGAGAGTCTCACTCCCTCACCAGGCACCAGGCTGGAGTGCAGTGGCACGACCTCGGCCCACTGCAACCTCCACCTCCCAGGTTCAAGCGATTCTCCGCCTCAGCCTCCCGAGTAGTAGCTGGGACTACAGGTGTGCATCACCATGACCAGCTAATTTTTTGTATTTTTAGTAGAGACGGGGTTTCACCATATTTGCCAGGATGGTCTTGATCTCTTGACCTCATGATCTGCCTGCCTTGGCCTCCCAAAGTGCTGGGATTACAGGCGTGAGCCACCGCACCCGGCCTTTATTTTTATTTTTATTTTAATGAGGAAGTTTGATGTCATAGATAAAGCCATGGTTTAGAATCACTGAGACTTGTATTTGAATCCCTACATCCATCACACTAGCTATGTAACTTCATACTTGCACTTAACATTTCTGAGCTTCAGTTCCTTATCTAAAACATGGAAGAATAATGCTGACTTCATAACATTGTTACAAGGACTGGTTAGACTGTTCAGTCAATGAGTATTTATGGAGTGCATTTTCTTTCTTTCTTTTTTTTTTTGAGACGGTGTCTTGCTCTGTCACCAGGCTGGAGTGCAGTGACGCAATCTCAGCTCACTACAACCTCCACCTCCCAGGTTAAAGTGATTCTCCTGCCTCAGCCTTCCAAGTAGCTGGGACTACAGGTGTATGCCACCACGCCTGGCTCGTTTTTGCATTTTTAGTGGACACAAGATTTCACCATGTTGGCCAGGCTGGTCTCAAACTCCTGACCTCATGATCCACTGCCTCAGCCTCCCAAAGTGCTGGGATTACAGGCATGAGCCACCACACCCAGTTTTGAATGCAAATTCTGTGTCCAAGTTATAGGAATATTGTGGAGAAAGAGACTGGCCTAGCCCCTTACTCAGGGATCAACCCTATCCCTATGCTATGTGCCTAGCATGTAGTAGGCATTTAATAAATGTAGTTTCCCCTCCTTTGCTAAGGAAATGGGAGATTCATCTGGGGGAAGGAAATGAGCCTAAACCATGGTGTGACCTGGGGAGTAAGAATGTATGGTCTGTGCAGTGGCATGATTATGGCTTACTGCAGCCTTAACATTCCAGGCTCAAATGATCCTCCTGCCTCAGCCCCCTGAGTAGCTGGGACTACAGGCACCCGCCACCACATCTGGCTTATTTATTTAATTTTTTTTTTTTTTTTTTTTTTTGAGACAGAGTTTTGCTCTGTCACCCAGGCTGCAGTGCAGCGGCCCAGTCTCAGCTTACCACAACATCCACCTCCTGGGTTCAAGCGATTCTTCTGCCTCAGACTCTGAGTAGATGGGATTACAGGCATGTGCCACCATGCCTAGCTAATTTTGTATTTTTAGTAGAGGAGAGCGTTTTCCATATTGGTCAGGCTGGTGTCAAATTCCCAACCTCAGGTGATCTGCCCACCTCAGCCTCCCAAAGTGCCGGGAATACAGGCATGAGCCACTATGCCTGGCCTTAATTTTATTTTTTGAGACAGACTCTTGCTGTGTCACCCAGGCTGCAGTGCAGTAGCATGATCTTGGCTCACTGCAATCTCTGCCTCCTGGGTTCAATTGATTCTCGTGCCTTAGCCTCCAAAGTATTACAGGCATGAGCCACCATGCCTGGCTAATTTTTGTAATATTAGTAGAGATGGGGTCTCGCCATGTTGGCCAGGCTGGTCTCAAACTCCTGACCTCAAGTGATCAACCCGCCTCAGCCTCCCAAAGTGCTGGGATTACAGGCATAAGCCACCATGCCTGGCCTATAGTGTTTTCTTGAGAATAAAAAATCGTAATCTGTCAGCTGCAGTGGTTCATGCCTGTAATCCCAGCACTTTGGGAGGCCAAGGTGGGCAGATCATTTGAGGTCAGGAGTTTGAGACCAGCCTGGCCAATATGGTGAAACCCCATCTCTATAAAAAAATACAAAAATTAGCTGAGTGTGGTGGTGTGTGCCTGCAGTCCCAGCTACTCAGGAGGCTGAGGCAGGAGAATCACTTGACCCTGGGAGGCAGAGGTTGCAGCGAACCAAGACCTTGCCACTGCACTCCAGCGTGGGCGACAGAACAAGACAATATTTCCCGAAAAAAAAAAAAGAGAGAGAGGGAGAGAGAAAGAAAAGAAAAAAGAAAAAAGGGAAAAAAGTTGTATGTCAAAGAGTAAAGCTGGAAGGCATTAAGACATGGAAGTTATCTCAGGAGGATGAAGAGCCTGTCTAGAAAACAGGGGGAGATTGGGAATAAGGTTCTGAGGGGCCCAATCAGCAGGGTGGGCAATAGCAGGGACTTTGAGGTTCAAGCCCTGCTCTGCCACCAACTAGACTTTTTCCCTTGGGCATATTGCTTCACCTCCCTATGCCTCACTTTTTATCTCTAAAGGAGGCTTGTAAAACCTGTCTCATAGGGATAATGTGAAGATTAAATGAGATAATGCCTGGTATAACGTAGTTAATAAATGCAACTGTTGGGGGGATGGGAAGGTCTATATTAGGTGATGGGAGGCTGATTTGGAGAATGGAGGGTCCATCCGGAGAACAGGAGGTTGGCCCTGAGGAATGGTGGTGATGTGGGGCATGGAGTTGGGGAAGATAGGATAGGAAAAACTGGATCCAAACCCCACATAAACCTCACAGTTACAGGGCGGGGGCCTAGAGATATCCTCCAGGGGCTGTCAGCTTTTAGGACTGTGGAGAGGCGGTTGGGAGGGGGGCCAGCAGGGGAGAGGTTTGACTGCTAGTAACTCATCAACTGCTGCAGTAAGGAGAAGCCTCCTCGGTGGCAGCTGCACCAGCAGCCTCAGAGCCTCCCCTCCCTTAGTCTTAGCTGTGTGACAGGTGGGAACTTAAAAGCTCAGGTCACGTGTCTTGGCTAGCTAACTTACCCCTTGAAGACATAGCGGCTGGGACAGGCAGGGGCCAAGAGGAATTGGCTGAGAAAGGCGAGAGCAGGGGAAAGTCCCAAGTGTGTTCGGGGATCTACATTTGAAGGCTTTGGGGGCAAGGGAGAGAATGTGCAGGTGCGTGAGATGCCCGGGGCACTGTCTGCGAGCCCTGTGCATGCCCTGGCACCCAGGTCCCTCCAGGATATGGCATATGCCTGTCTTGAAGGCCTGGATCTGGCTAGGCGACTCTACAGTCGGAGCAGGCTGAGCTCCGGGTTCCAGTTTAACGCTGGAACTGCTGCAAACTCCCTCAAAGCTGCTGCCATTTTCCCTTCTTTACTAGTGCCCTAACTCAGGGAAAGTGTGAATCGGGAGGGGGGGATGTTCCAATGTCCCAAGGCTCATGCTTTTTTGAAAGCCTTTGTACCTAGTTTGGGGATTTCTGGAGGGAAGCCTGCGCTCATGGGCTGGAACTGAGGAAAACTGTTGCAGGGCTGGGATTGTGTGTGAAGAGACTGACACCTTTACAATCCCTTGAGAGAGACGGAATCTGCACCCCACTTCCCCCACCCCAACACCATTGCCTAATCTGTCTTCCAAGGACTTGTCCCCACGGAGTGACTCCAGCTCTCCTTTCCTCACTGCCTCCAAGTTGGCCCTTTGTCGTCCATTCCCAGTCCTGAGTTCACCCCTGCACCTCCTCGGGCCCCCACGTTGCAGGCGCTGCTCTCTCCTTCGCCGTCCTCGCCCCCCGCGGACTGCCAGGAGGCTCGGGCCCTTTAAGAGCGGCGGGACCGGCGAGCAGTAGCTGGGAGGAAAGCGCAGTCGCCCCCCGGGCTCGGAGGACACAGCGTCCGGGACCCGGCTCTGGGAAGCTATTGTGCGCAGCCCAGCGGAGTCAGGGCGCGACCCCAATCGGCCCTCCCCATCCTTGCTATCTCCTCCGACCCAAGGTCCGGCCCTCCTCCGTCGCCTGCCCCGCCCCGGCCCCGCCCCGGCCCGTGCCGCCGGGACCGGGAGCCGGGACGCGGGTGCCGCAGCCCGAGGCAGGTAAGGCGAGCCTTGGCTCTCAGTCCCCGGCCCGTGGCAGCGCTGAGCATCCCGGCCCTGCACCGGCCCGGGGGCGCGTCAAGGTGACTAGGCATGCTGGAGATGGGGCCGGGGCTTGAGCCGCCGTGGGGCGCTTAGTTTTGAGTCTGGGTGGTGCGCCTGGATTTGGGGACAGCCCGGGGCACACGGGCCGGGGGGCGCCGGCGGGAGGGGCCGGTCTGGGGGTCGCGCGGAAGGATGGAGAATGGGACGCAGCTGCAGGCCTGATGTCTCCTCCGCTCTGCCTTCCCCTGGTCCGCCCTGCACTCACCCTGCTACACTGACCTCCTAGCGGGCAGCCTCCGCCGGCTGCCCCTTCTCCCCGCCCCCTATCCCTCCAGTCCCCAGGGGCCGCTGGCCTGCGGGATAAGGAGATTAAAGAAGCCGCGGGGAGGAAGAAGCCAGTGAGAGCTTCCAGGGGACGGGCTGGGGCCAAGCTGGTGCTGGACTGCCTGGGACGGAGCATCGCCGTGCAGGGAGTGGGGGGCGGGGGCAGAGTGCGGGCCTAAGTCTCAGATCTGCCCGGAGAAGCAGGTGGGGAGTGGGGGCGGGGAAGCATTAGAACGCCAGGGAGCTTTGAGCGGGGCTCAGTGATCTGCCCCCAAACTGAGCAGGCCCTCTCCCTGCAGGCCGGCAGCGTGATGGCGGAGAAGGCGCTGGAGGCCGTGGGCTGTGGACTAGGGCCGGGGGCTGTGGCCATGACCGTGACGCTGGAGGACGGAGCGGACCCCCCTGTGCTGACCACGCACCTGAAGAAGGTGGAGAACCACATCACTGAAGCCCAGCGCTTCTCCCACCTACCCAAGCGCTCAGCCGTGGACATCGAGTTCGTGGAGCTGTCCTATTCCGTGCGGGAGGGGCCCTGCTGGCGCAAAAGGGGTAGGGAACAGCCTGGTGGGGAGTCCCTGGGCCCTCTCTGAGTTGCCTCTCCAGCAGCATGAGGCCTGGGTGTTCCATGTTCGGCAAGTCCTGCACCAGTGGGCTCTTTGGAAACACTAAAATCTGGGTCCCAGCCCCTTGCCCACTGTGCACTGTTGGGGTATCAGGATCTACGCTCCCCGGCACCTGTGAGCACGTGGGATACTTGATACATTGGTTATTGAACCTTTTTCTTCTGAAGAGATCCCCTGGCCTCTGGTCCTTGAGTGGTCCTTGATGAGTTTTCCTTCTTTTGTTTATGGAGGATTCCTACCTGTGAGGGCTGGTATGAAAAAGTAGGGGGCTGTGCCTGCAAGGTTGAGCAATACCCTTGGACCTAATATAAAGATGTTCTCATTCCTGTCATCTTATTCCATTCTTACCACAGTGCTCAGAAGCAGGGAGGGTGGCGGTTTGGCAGGATAGATGTCATCTCCATGTTACTAATAAGGAAACTGAGGCCCAGAGAAGTTGAGTAACTTGACCAACGTCACACAGCTAGTAAATGGCAGAGCTGGGACCAGAAGCCTGGCTTCCCAGCTCTCCACACATTGTTCTTTTCCCTCTTTTCCCTGTACAGCATTCCCATCGCCTCCCCTTTCCTGCCCATGAAGACAGGTTGCCCTGAACCCTAACCAGCCCCAGCAGCCCCTACCCTGAGCAGCTTTATCTGACAATAGGGAAGCTCAGGCTGTTTCCCAGAGCCTGGGTGTGGGCCAGGGGTGGGGCTGGGACATTGTTCTCTGAGGTTTAACAAATAGGTTTGGGGTGCTTCAGAGCAGAGCTGGGCATGATCTGTCTCTGCACTCTCCACCCTCACTCCTATGAGTGACCAAAAGGTCACCTGGCCGAGCCAATGGAAACTGAGGCATCTGGGCTTCCTGCCCAGTGCACCCTGTCCCTAAGCAGCCTCTCTCAGTCCTGAGGCCAGCTCTGGGCAAAATGATGAGGCAGTTGTTATTTCCTTAGTCCTCTCATTTCCTCATAATTTTAAGAAGAAACAAAGATTTTTTAAAAAATCCCTCTAGATGGGCCAGCTCTCCAGCTGCTTCCATGTGCCAGCTGCAGACTGATACCCCTCACCTGGCCCTTCCCTCCTTTTGACCTTGCCAGCCCCATTCTGCTCTACTAGCCCTTTTGCCATTCCTTTCATTCCTTGTCCCTTTCTCTGCCCCCTGCCTTCCCCTTGATGACTTCTCTTTTCCATTGGATCCCTCTCCCCTTCTCTAGAGGACAGAAAGCAATTAGGGTTAGACAGAAAGGAAAGAAAGCAAGGGGATGGAGAGAGGGAGCGTTCTGCCTTTCCCAAGTAAGGATTTGTTACCAGTCTCCCCTAATGATATATAGCATTTCTTATTTTTTCAAAACAGCTTCCTTTTAAAAATTATTATTAATAATCTCACTTAATATTCTTAATAACCCTATTAAGTCCTTGGGAGTAGATATTACTATTCTTTTATAGATGAGGAGTCAGAGGCCTTAAAGATAAGTGACTTGACAAAATTGCAAAGAGAGTTACTGACGGCAGCAGAGCTAGAATACCAGTGTCTCTCCAGCCCAAGGGTCTGGCTGGCCTCTTCTGTGCTGAGCAGTTGTGGGACAGAGGGAAACATGGGTTCCTAGTCACTTATAAGCTATGTGACCTTGGGCAGGCTGCTTACCCGCTCTTGGCCTCACTTTTCTCATCTGTAAACAGGGATGATAAGAATACACAGGCTTGTATGAAACTCAGCTGAGACGATATCTGTGAGAGGCAAATGTAAGGTGATTTTTGTGTTAGGCATCAGTGTTCAACCAGCTACTGTAATTAATTGAGAGGAAGGTTCGTTGTTGCCAATTTCTTCTCCTGCAAGAGATCATTTCCTGTGAGTGGCTCTGAAAGGCATATGCTGGAGTGCGCCACTAAATGTCTGATTGATGGAGAGGAGGACTGAGGCAGAGGGCTGGAGCCCATGGCTTCCCTCTCCCAGGAAAGAGCTTGCTGTGTGACCCTGGGTGAGTCACTAGATGTCTCTGGGCCCCAGTTGCCTCACCCGTGTTGTTAGAGAATAGCTGAAGCTTTGCTTCATGGGTTCCATCCAGGCAGTTGCTGTGACCCGGACCTGGCAGTGGGCAGCAGCTGCTACCCCTTCTGACAGGAAGCGTCGAGAGGGACAGCATGGCCCAGAACACAGTCCTGGGTGTCATGAAAGGAGGGATGCCATCCCTTCACTGTCTCCACCAAGGACACTAAGGAGGTGGAGTGGGGAGGGACTTGGGCTCTGTAGGGGTTAGAGGGGGTGGCAGTGAGAAGGTGCTGGTGAGGGATTGGCATCTCCTCACCTATGAGGCAGGTCTGCCAGCATCACAGGCAAGGCCCTCCTCAATGGCTTCATCCTTCCCCTCTACTTCCACATCTCACCAGGTCACTCCATGTAGGCTCTGTCCTCTGTTCCTTGGATTGTGAGTGTATATACACATAATTTTACATTGCAGAGCCTGGAGGTCCTCTGCTTTCCCTTTGCCTTTTGGAATCCTGCTCGTCCTTCAAGACTTAGCTCAAATGCCACCTCTTCCAAGAGGCCAGCCTTGATTTTCCCCTTGCCCCCTGGCCTACATCAATTCCATTTTTTTTTTGCATTCTCACAGCATATTTTTTTGTACTTCTGTTATAACCCTAATTTTACTTTTCTTCATTTTTTGTTTGTCTGTCTTATTTAGACTATGACCTTCTCGGATACAAAAACTGTCTTCCTCAATTTTTGTCCAGTGTTTGGTACAGAGCTTGGTATATAGTAGATATCAATAAGCATTTGTCAAGTGGAATTAACAGTAAAATGTCACTGTTTAATGCATTCTATGTGCCAAGCACTGTGTCACATGTTTTACATATATTATCTCATTGAATCTTTACAACAACCCTATGAGATAGGTACTATCATCCTCATTTTACAGATGAGGGACCTGGAGCTCAGAGAGGTTAAGCAACTTGCCTGAGGTCACACAACTGGTAAGTGTGGAGCCAGAATTTGAACCCAGATCCACCTGACTCCAAACCATGCTCTAAATGCATATGCTGCCTTCCAATGATTGAATGAAAGGTGAGATTTTACTGGGCCATGTTAGGGGCTAGAGACACAAGCCTGGTGGGCAGAGAGAGCACAAAGAAGAAGGCTTTTTCTGAATGAGGGAGAATTCACACTCATGAAACAGACACTTACTGAACGTCTATTACAGGCCAGACAGTCTGTTGAGATTACCACGATGAGTGAGACACTGCCCCCAAGGAGCTCACTGACTAAGAGGCTGGGAGAGCGGGGCAAGTGACAGGCACATCAAGTAACAAACCTGCTGGCATAGGAGAGGTGCTATGGAAACACAGGGGATTGGCAGCCAACTCGAGATGTAGTGGTGGGAAAGTTTTCCTGGAGGGGGTGTGGCAGCGGCCGCTATGATCACAGAAGAGGACTAGGGTCTTCTATAGCTTTGATCCCCTCTCCACGCCCATCCATGAGACTTGTGGATTTTCCCACAATCTTCAGAAGAGGACTGTTGCCTCTGATACTTTGATATTAGTTGTGGTCGTTTGTAGGGGGACGGGATGAGAGGGACAGGTTACTGCCAGGGCTATGAGGGTTGTTCCTCCATCCTAACCCAGTCACACTGAGTAGGGACTACCTATTTCACTAATAGCCATGGCTGCTCCTAAGAGTTATGGCGGTACCTCTGTTCACCGCAGCCTGACCAAAAACCCCTCCCTCCTTCACTGCAGGTTATAAGACCCTTCTCAAGTGCCTCTCAGGTAAATTCTGCCGCCGGGAGCTGATTGGCATCATGGGCCCCTCAGGGGCTGGCAAGTCCACGTTCATGAACATCTTGGCAGGATACAGGTAAGGATGAGACTGGGGTTGAGTGGGGGCAGGACTCAGGAAGAAGTATCCCTTGGGGAACACAGAAGGTATTCTGAAGTGACATTGACCTCCATCCTCAACCCACATCCCTGCAGGGAGTGTGGAATGAAGGGGCAGATCCTGGTTAATGGGAGGCTGCGGGAGCTGAGGACCTTCCGCAAGATGTCCTGCTACATCATGCAAGATGACATGCTGCTGCCGCACCTCACAGTGTTGGAAGCCATGATGGTGAGGGCTGGATAGTCACCCCTCCTCCCAGCAACCCTCTGTCTGCTGTCCCCACCTTCCCCATTGGCAGAGAGGTCAAGGCAGAGCTCCCTCCCACACACACCTTTCTCGCCTACTCTCTGGGCCCCAGGTCTCTGCTAACCTGAAGCTGAGCGAGAAGCAGGAGGTGAAGAAGGAGCTGGTGAGTGGAGAAGGGAGGCAATGGGACAACTGCCTTTTGTGGTGCTGCTGAGCTCGACGTCCCGAGCTGGGAGTGGGAGAGTGGTGGCCTAGGCCAGAGCAGTGAACTTAAGGGAGATGTTTTTCGAAGCTGGGGCGCTGCCTGGGGGAAGCAGAGACTTCGAAGCTGATCTGGGGTGGGTGGGGTGGGGCCAGGTGACAGAGATCCTGACGGCACTGGGCCTGATGTCCTGCTCCCACACGAGGACAGCCCTGCTCTCCGGTGGGCAGAGGAAGCGCCTGGCCATCGCCCTGGAGCTGGTCAACAACCCGCCTGTCATGTTCTTTGATGAGCCCACCAGGTAGTTCCCTCCACCCTTTTCCATCAGGATACCCCTCTCCCCTGGGCCCTGAGCCAGGGCTGGAGGCTGCGTCTAATCCATGAGCCAGAGCCTCTGTTTGCAGCCTCCTGGGGCCAAGATAAGGGCTTCTTCCTCATCTCCTTCCTTGCCAATCCTGTTGCTGTGAGCACCCCCATCCTTCACCTGGGCAGAGATCTAAATGTCCTCCTTGATTGACACCTCCCTCTCCTGTCACCCTCAGCCATCTGTCACCAAGTCCTGTTGATTCTGCCTCCTTTTGATATCTCTCAGATTTACCCTGCCCCATCCTTAATGTTGATGTTAAGTTCAGGACATCAAGAGATTCTTATCTCCTCATCTCCATTGTCTCCCAGCCAATCCTTCCTCCAAACTGCAGCCAAAGTGAACTTTCTAAAGACAAGTCTGCAGTGCTTACTCCCCTCCTTAAAAAAATGCGGTGTTTCCCACTTGGCCTCAAAATAAAGTCAGGTGACTTACAAGGGCCTTGTCTGAACCTACTTCTCCAGCCTCATGTCATGTACTTTATGCTCTAATAATACTGAGTTGCTTATAATTCCCTGGTCAAGCCATGTGTTTCATGCCTCTAAGCTTTGCCCATGCTGTGTCTTCTGCTGGAATGCCCTTCGCCACTGTGCCTCCCCTCTCCCCTTCACCTGCTTAGCTCTTACTCCTGGGCTCACTCAGGAACCTTCACTGATTACCCTCCAACACCTGCTACTGCTGAGCTGAATCCGCCCCCTCTTTCACCCAGGGTTGCTACAGCACTTTCCACATTACCCAAAATCAGCCATGTGCTTGTCTTTCTCTCCCTCCAGACCAGAGTCTGTGTTTTATTTATGCATCATTGTAATCCCAGTGCCTGGCATACAACAGGTGCTCAATATATGCTTATTAAACTGAACGGTGCTTTGGGCTTCTGGGTATACCTCCAAGTGCCTGAACCATAAAGGATACAGATGTGGCCAGAGTACCCTCTTCCTGCCAGCTTCATCCCCTTCACAGCAGCTGCCCCACCCCAGACACTGCCTTCTTTTGGCCTCACCCACCTCACATGGCCCCCTGGTGGCCTCTCTCTGGACAGCGGTCTGGACAGTGCCTCTTGTTTTCAAGTGGTGTCCCTTATGAAGTCCCTGGCACAGGGGGGCCGTACCATCATCTGCACCATCCACCAGCCCAGTGCCAAGCTCTTTGAGATGTTTGACAAGGTGAGTGTCTCCAGGCATCAGGGAGGATTGGCCTGAGATGGAGGGATGGAAGGGGGTCAGTAGGGGTGCCTGGCCTGCTGTTCCCTCCTTACCCTTCTCTTTCTGCTGTAGCTCTACATCCTGAGCCAAGGTCAGTGCATCTTCAAAGGCATGGTCACAAACCTGATCCCCTATCTAAAGGGACTCGGCTTGCACTGCCCCACCTACCACAACCCGGCTGACTTCAGTGAGTGGGGGTCTGTTGGTAGGAGCTGGGAAACAGCAGTGGGCCAAACCTGGGGGCTCTGGTCCTGCACTCAGGCCTTGTAGGGGCAGAGATCTCACCACCGCCTGCCTTCCCCACACACCCAAGGCAGGACTGACTTGCCCTTGGGAAGTGAGGATGAATCTTAAGTGTGCTCTCTGCTCTGTGTCCCCAGTTATTGAGGTGGCCTCTGGCGAGTATGGAGATCTGAACCCCATGCTGTTCAGGGCTGTGCAGAATGGGCTGTGCACTATGGCTGAGAAGAAGAGCAGCCCTGAGAAGAATGAGGTCCCTGCCCCCTGCCCCCCTTGCCCTCCAGTAAGTAGGGGTGGAGAGGGCAGAGAGGGAGTAACTGCGGAGGGGAGACCATGAGCAATGACCCTGCCAAAAAGGCTGTTCCCCAGAAGTATCGCAACCATTGGGTACTAGGAAGCACCTAGGACTTGGAATTGACCTACTAGGAACAGCACTGTGTCCTTAGGCACTTACTTTACCTCCTTGAGCTCCAGTTTCCTCATTCATTTATTCATTCAGCAAATTCTTATTGAGCGTCTACAGTGTGCTGTCCTTGGTCCTGGCACAGTGCCCATCTGGTAAGCAAGACCAACATGGTCTCCAGCCTGGTGGCCAGTGTGGCTTACTCTTCTCCCCAACTTAGAGATGATGATACTTACCTCACAGGGTGATTGGGAGGACTAATTAGATAATCACATAAAGCTCTTAGCACTGTAGCTGGTATAGCAGGCCTCTGTCCAGTACTAGTTCTCTTCCTTAAATGCAACACTATAACCCCTGAAAACCAGATGGGTTCGTTTTTGTTGTTATTGCTGTCATTATCATCATTATTAAGTAATATCACTGTGAAATTGGTGGCATAAAGGAATTACACCCTTAGGGTTGATGTGTTTTGATGGATTAAAGAAGTAACTAATCTATTACCAGCCACCATGGGTGTCCATTACTTTCTTTCTATCTCCTCCCTCCCAAGTGTTTGCCCCCTCTTTGTGTCTGAATCTCGCTCTGATTCACACCCCTAAGCCTAGCTTTCAGGTATAGAACTCAATGGTGGAAGATTCTCTGTAGACTTGGAGGACCCCTGCCCTGGGGAAGGGCTCTGAGGTTTTTCATTCACTGAGCTGGGTGTTCTATTGGTGAATGGGGTAGGTGTTCTGTGGGTGAACTCACCTGATCCCAATCCAATTTCTTCTTCACAGGAAGTGGATCCCATTGAAAGCCACACCTTTGCCACCAGCACCCTCACACAGTTCTGCATCCTCTTCAAGAGGACCTTCCTGTCCATCCTCAGGGACACGGTGAGGCATCAGGCTAGGGGAGAGGAGGCTGGCACAAGCCTGACCTTTTGGACTGTAGGATCCCAGCAGTTGCGATGGGAATGGGAACCCTCCCTCACAGCCCCACAATGCACCTGTGGGTCTCTGTGCCTGTGAGGGCGGCTCCGAATTCCTACCCTGCTCTGTAGCTTGCCTATCCCTGGCCTATGACACATGCCTCTCCTGGTGATGACCCCTCCCAAGGTCCTGACTCACCTACGGTTCATGTCCCACGTGGTGATCGGCGTGCTCATCGGCCTCCTCTACCTGCATATCGGCGATGATGCCAGCAAGGTCTTCAACAACACCGGCTGCCTCTTCTTCTCCATGCTGTTCCTCATGTTCGCTGCCCTCATGCCAACTGTGCTCACCTGTGAGCTAAGCTGCCCTGGGCATGGGGCAAGGGCGTGGGTGCTGGGGCTCAGGGCAGGGGCCAGGGTGTCAGCTGGCTGTGCCTAAGCAGCCTGTGTCCTCAGTTCCCTTAGAGATGGCGGTCTTCCTGAGGGAGCACCTCAACTACTGGTACAGCCTCAAAGCGTATTACCTGGCCAAGACCATGGCTGACGTGCCCTTTCAGGTGGGCCTCTTCCTCCCACCTGCCCACTGCCTCCATCTGGTCTTGCTCCTTCCATCCTTGCTTTCTTGCCTCCCTCAAACTTGTCACTTTCCTTCTTCTGCTGTTCTACTCCCTTAGCAAATAGATGGTGAGTTCCTGTCATAGCCCAGGCCCTGTACCAGGCCCTAGCGATATAGCAGTGAACTAGACTAATGTAGTCTTGACCACGTGGACTTTATGTTTTAGTAGAAACAACTGACAACAATAGAAAATGATGAAAATAACCTTATAGCGCTGGGCGTGGTGGCTCACGCCTGTAATCCCAACACTTTGAGGCTGGAGGCTCACTTGAGCTCAGGAATTTGAGACCAGACTGGGCAACATGGCAAAATCCCGTCTCTACTAAAAATACAAAAATTAGCCAAGCATGGTGTCGTGTGTACCTGTAGTCCCAGCTACTGGGGGCAGCGGGGGTTGGGAGGGTGTTGAGGTGGAGGACCGCTTGTCTCAGGATTGAGCCCAGGAGGCTGAGGTTGCAGTAAACCACCAGATTGCACCACTGCACTCCAGCCTGGATGACTTAGTAAGAGACCATATCTCAAAAAAAAAAAAAAAAGAAAAAAGAAAAGAAAAAGAAAAAAAGAAAAGAACACTACAAATGACTCTGTAGCTCTTTTTTTTTTTTTTTTTTTTTTGAGACAGAGTTTTGCTCTGTTGCCCAGGCTGGAGTGAGTGGCACGATCCTGGCTCACTGCAACCTCTGCCTCCCGGTTTAAGCAATTCCCTGTCTCGGCCTCCTGAGTACCTGAGATTACAGGTACGCACCACCATGCCCGGCATATTTTTGTATTTTTGGTAGAGACAGGGTTTCACCATCTTGGCCAGGCTCGTCTTGAACTCCTAACCTCATGATCCACCTGCCTCAGCCTCCCAAAGTGCTGGTATTACATGCGTGAGCCACCACGCCCAGTTGACTCTGTAGCTCTTATTACAGGTGATAGGGAATGGCGTGCTGTCTGGCTGTTACTACGACTTGCTACCTGCAAGATCTTGGGCAAATCACTCTCTTTTCTAAAGTGTCCCCATCTATAAAGTCTCAGGATTGTTTGTGAGAATTTTGGTTTTTCTTTGAGACAGAGTTTCGCTCTGTCTCCCAGGCTGGAGTGCAATGGCACCATCTCGGCTCACTGCAACCTCCACCTCCTGGGTTCAAGTAATTCTCATGTCTCAGCCTCCCGAGTAGCTGGAATTACAGGTGCTTACCACCACGCCGGGCTAATTTTTGTATTTTTAGTAGAGACGGGGTTTCACCATGTTGGCCAGGCCTGACCCCAGGTGATCGGCCCACCTTGGCTTCCCAGGGTGCTGGGATTACAAGTGTGAGCCACTGTACCTGTTTGTGAGAATTTAATGAGTTAATGTATATCAAGTACTTAGAATAGTGCTTGGCACACAGCAAGTGCCTAATAAATGTTAGCTGGTTGTTGTTACTGCCAATACCACCCTGTTCCAGGCATCAGGGCCACCAGTAATCCATAGGGCCAGCTGTGCAAATTAGAAAAAGGTGCCCCTTCCTTAGGGTGGACGCCGTGACAGGATGCTTGGCTTAATGAGATGAGCACAAGCTGGACCTTGGCCTTCGGTTGGCTCTTGGTTGGGTGCCCTTGAGCAGGGAATGACTGTACTTAGTAAGCTCAGTCCCTGCCCTCTAGGAGTTAGTAGCTCATAGGGAAACAAAACAGCTCTCCTACGGAGAGTTAATTAATTAACAATATAAGGAATAAGCTGGTCCATGTGGGAAGGACTTTAGGTGCTCAGGGAAGGGAAGAGTCGCTGTTCCTGAACCAGCTAGGGTGGACCCAACAGAAGATATGAGACAAGATGAATGAGAGTCATATGGCCAGGGAGGAAGGGGGCATGTGTCATTCCGGGGTGACAGCTTGAACAAGAGTGTGGCAGCAGGATGGGCATGTGCACCCTGGGAATAGGTATTCTAGAGGCCCAGGCTCGGGTGGAGTGGAGGTCTTGGCTGCTCCCCCCCTGGCTTGAAGTCCACTGCCCAGCCCGTTCCCGCTCCCCAGGTGGTGTGTCCGGTGGTGTACTGCAGCATTGTGTACTGGATGACGGGCCAGCCCGCTGAGACCAGCCGCTTCCTGCTCTTCTCAGCCCTGGCGACTGCCACCGCCTTGGTGGCTCAATCTTTGGGGCTGCTGATCGGAGCTGCTTCCAACTCCCTACAGGTGGGAGGGCTGGCAGTTGGGGATTCCCAAGGTGGGATGAGGTCTCGTGGGAGGAAGCAGGGCCTGGTACAAGGGGTAGGGTGGGCCTCTGGGAAACCTGGGCTTGTTCTGGTCACCCCTATGATGGCCTGGCCCCCTACACTCCCCTCTAGGTGGCCACCTTTGTGGGCCCAGTTACCGCCATTCCTGTCCTCTTGTTCTCCGGCTTCTTTGTCAGCTTCAAGACCATCCCCACTTACCTGCAATGGAGCTCCTATCTCTCCTACGTCAGGTCAGTACCCCTGCCCTACCCATCGGCTTCTGATCCTCCCTGCAGGAGGCCATGCCCAGGGCTTCCTGGGTTGTGCCAAGTCTGCTGCCTGCCCCATTATCCTTTGGGCAGGGGCACCCTGGCTGCACCCCAGTGATGACAGCATTGCAGCTGGGCTCTGGCAGTTTTCTCAGGGAGCAGGGACCCTGTGTGCTGTGTCCTATCTGACACCCCTGCCTGCCTAGGTATGGCTTTGAGGGTGTGATCCTGACCATCTATGGCATGGAGCGAGGAGACCTGACTTGTTTAGAGGAACGCTGCCCATTCCGAGAGCCACAGAGCATCCTCCGAGCGCTGGATGTGGAGGATGCCAAGCTCTACATGGACTTCCTGGTCTTGGGCATCTTCTTCTTAGCCCTGCGTCTGCTAGCATACCTTGTGCTCCGTTACCGTGTCAAGTCAGAGAGATAGAGGCGTGCCCCAGCCCCCGCAGCAGGACGCCCCCAGCCCCAGCCCTTTGGGACTGTTTTAACCTTATAGACTTGGGCACTGGTTGCTGGAGGGGCTGCCCTCCCCTCCCTTGGCTCCTTCCCAGGCTGGCTGTTGGACTGTGCTGTCAGCCTGGGCCCTGGGAGTAGGGGGCTCCAGCCTTCCCCACCATGTCCAGGAGCCTTCCCATGTTGCTGCGGTTTGTAGCTTCCTCCCTACTCTCTCTAGCACCTGCATGCAAAGACCACTGGGAGGCTCCTCCCTCCTTCCTGCCCGTGGCACCCTCTTTTGCTGTCTGCCTGGGAGCCCCAGGCTCTCCAGGCCCCCACTTACAACTGACCAAAGTGGCCCCCTCTGGGGGGCCCCACCACACAAGTGTTTGTAAACTGGGCTGCTATAAGTTTGGAGTTCCAGGGCTGGGCCCTGGTGGGGTCCCCGGAAGTCCCATTATGGACGATGCAATGGAGCAGGGAAGGACTCTGGAAGTCTCTTCCTCCTCCTCCCCTTCTCCCTAGTCTACCCCTAGATCCTGGCTGACTTGGACAATCTGCCAGGACAGAAGCTGGGTTTTCTGTCTCGGTCACCACTCACAATCCTGGGGATTGGAGAGGCCTGGGGCTGTGGGATGCCCCGTCCCTATCCCCATCACCTTTGGTGGGGGTAGGGCCTGCTGGCACCTGTGCAATAATGTCTGTGTTTTCTCTCCCATATGCCACTGGAACTGGCAGAATGTACTTTATTCTGGGGGGTGAGTGGGGAAAGACCCAACCCTCCTTTCTCGCTGCCCCTGACACAGGCATGGTCTTGTGATGCTCCCTCCCTCTCTGGAGTGGCAGGCACATACATATGAACAGGCAATCTCAGCCCTACACACTTGCCATCCCCTACAATGCAGAGGAAGAGTGATGCTGGCATGCTGGTGGTGGCAGGTGCTGGGGGGAGGACAGTGCCAACCTCCTCCTGGGGATCCCTTGTTGGAGACTGTAAGGATAAGGCTGGTGCTGCCCAGGGTGTCTCTAGAATCTGGAGGTGTCTACCCCCCAGTCTTCCCTCCTCCCAAGCCAGGGGTGGCACAGGGCACTAGATCCCTGGAGTTCAGGACCCAACACAAGCACAAGCAAGGGCATAAGTTGGCCTTGGCCACTGCCACCCCATGGTCCTCCTTTTGTGCTTCATGCTGATGTCTTCACCCTCTACCCCTTCTCCAGCCACTGCTGCTCATTCAAACTTCTGTCCATGTCCCTCCACTGTTCCTATCAGCAGGTGGCCCCTGGGCATCAGAACAGCCTGCCCTGGGCACCAGGTGGCAGACACACTCAGAGCATGTCTGGCTTTCCTGATGGGCCCAGGCTCATTCTGCTTCTGATTTCCCCTCCCCTAGGGTTCATTTTCCCCCTAATTCCTGTACACATTCCTGTCTACCTCCTCTCACTCTGCCACAGATTCTTCCCATCACACAGAGATGCCAGTTGTATTTGCGGGATTTCACCCATTATTAATAAAACCTATATTTATACAGTATGCAATGTGTAAATGTGTGTGGATCTGCCACCTGGTACTGTGGGCCTTGAGGGGGTCTTCAAAGCATTTGGCAAGATGTCTGTCTGTAGGGAGTCTGTGGCAGGGGATGGTAGGTCCTAGGCATGTCAAGCTAGTGAACGTGTAGCTTAAGAAATATTTGTGTCATGCTTTCCATCTCACAGAGGCTTCACATTCATTACCTCAAGGGAGTCCTATGCTGACCCTGCACCATCCTTCATGACAACTCATTTTGCAGATGAGAGAACTGAGACTTGGGTCAAGTAACCTACCCAAGGGCCCTCAACTCATGGAAGAGGAGCCAGGCCTGGAGACCAGGTCTTCTGCCTCCAGAGTCCTCGTTCTTGGCACTGATCAATGACACTTGTTCATGGTGGATCCACATGCTTTTGGAGAGCTGTGTGTCTGTTGCATAGGTGTGTTCTTGCCCAAATGATGCCAGCCTCTGTCTTCAGGGCTCACTGAGTCCCGGCTGTGCCTGCAGGGGTGGGGTGTGTTAATGGTTATGGAAGACAGTGAGAAGCAGGAAAGACCCTAGAGCCCCATCCCGAGGATGGGAGTGGTGGGGACCTCACTGGGCTTACTCTGCCTTTCCCCTTTGTTTCTTCTCTTCTTTCCACCCGGCCACCCTTACTGGGGCTGAACTGTCAGCCAGGACTACAAATGGGTTTGGTGACTGGGGGTTTGGAGCAGGCAAGTGTCTAGAAGTTCTTGAGGGCTGGGGGCAGGACAACCCAAGAAGCAGCACACTGCTTCTCCCCCTTCTGTCCTGGGCCTGAGGCTTGGGAACTGAAGGGAATTACTGACATCAGCCTGCCAGCTGCCTGGAACACCTAGTTGTGCCACATGTAGACTTAAGTGACCCACACTAAACTAGGGTCCAATTTATGAGTGGTAGGGTGCTCAAGTGGAGATAAATGACTTTTTTTTTTTCTTATGGAGGTTTGTAATTGGAATGGGAAGCATGAAGAAGTCTGAGTCCTAGAATTCTGGAATTCTAGTTAGATTTAGAGGACATTCTGGATGCACCTTCTCCCTGGAGTGATGCCAAGAGATGGCTTTTGACAAATCAAAGGGCATGAAATCTCACCATTAAAGAATCTTTCTTAAGATCCTTATTTTACTCTCTTTTTCTTTTTTATTTAAAGACAGGGTCTCACTCTGTCACCCAGGCCGTAGTGCAGTAACGTGGGGCAGGAGAAGCGCTTGAACCTGGGAGGCAGAGGTTGCAGTGAGCCGAGATCATGCCACTGCACATTCCAGCCTTGGCTACAGAGCAAGACTTCGTCTCAAAAAAAAAAATTATAGCACGAGGCTGGGCGTGGTTGCTAACACCTGTATCCCAGCATTTTGGGAGGCTGAGGCAGGAGGGTCACTTGAGCCCAGGAGTTTGAGACCAGCTTGGGCAATGTAATGAAATTATGATGCATTATGATTACATAATGAATAATTAACATAATTAATTCCAATCATAGCTCACTGTAGCCTCGAACCCCTGGGCTCAAGGGATCCTCCTGCCTTAGCCTCCTGAGTAGCTGGAACCATAGTTGTATGCCACCATGCCCAGACAATTGAAACATTTTTTTAAATGTAGAGATGGGGTCTCATCGTGTTGCCCAGGCTGGTCTTCAACTCCCGGGCTGAAACATTCCTCTCAGCTTAGCCTTCCAAGGTGTTAGGATTACAGGTGTTAGCCACCATGCCTGGCCCTCTTTCTCTTTTTAAAACGTAAATACTAGGTCGTGGCATGGTAGCTCACACCTGTAATCCAGGACTTTAGGAGCCTAGCTTGGGCAACTTAATGAGGCCCCAACTCTCTATAAAAACAAACAAACAATCAAAAAATTAGCCAGGCACGGTGGCAGTGCTTGTAGTCCTAGTTACTTGGGACATGGAGGCGAGAGAATCATTTGAGCCCAGGAGTTTAAGATTACAGTGAGCTATGATTTTGCCACTGCGCCCCAGCCTGGGTGACAGAGTGACACCCTGTCCAAAAAAAAAAAAAAAGTAAATACTTCTGAAAGGGTTAAACGCTTATAGATCACACATTTACAAGTTCCTTTGGGAGCTAATAAACACCAGGCCTTCCTTCTCTCCCTAAGTGCCAAAGTACCTGGACTTAGAGATCTACGTTAACACAATCACCTTCTCTGTGTCCAAGCCTGTGCAAAGTGCTGAAGACCAGAGTTGACCAAGACAGTTGTTCACGTAATGATTCTTTTTTCTTTTCTTTTTCTTTTCTTTTTTTAAAGACGGTGTTTCACCATGTTGGTCAGGCTGATCTTGAACTCCCAACCTCAGGTGATCCGCCCGCCTTGGCCTCTAAAGTGCTTGGATTACAGGCGTGAGCCACCACGCCCAGCCTCTTTTTTCTTTTTTTGAGACAGAGTCTTGCTCTGTCACCCAGGCTGGAGTACAGTGGTGTGATCATGGCTTACTGTAGCTTCATCCTCCTGTGCTCAGGGGATCCTCCTGCCTCAGCCCCAGAGAAGCTGGGACCACAGGTGTGTGCCACTATGCCTGGCTAATTTTTTTTTCTTATTTTTTGTGGAATCACGGTTTCTTTATGTTGCCCAAGCTGGTCTCAAACTCCTGGGCTCAAGTGACCCTTCTGCCTCAGCCTCCCAAAATGCGGGGATTACAGGTGTTAGCAACCACGCCCAGCCTCGTGCTATAATTGTTTTTCTGAGACGAAGTCTCGCTCTGTAGCCAAGGCTGGGGTGTGCAGTGGCATGATCTCGACTAACTGCAACCTCTGCCTCCCAGGTTCAAGCGATTCTCCTGCCTCACCCTCCTGAGTTGCTGGGACTAAAGGCACCTGCCACCATGCCTGACTAATTTTTTTGCATTTTTAGTAGAGATGAGGTTTCACCATGTTGGTCAGGCTGGTCTCAAACTCCTGACCTCAGGTAATCCACCCACCTCAACCTCCCAAAGTGCTGGGATTATAGGCGTGAGCCACCTTGCCTGGCCTCATGCTACAATTCATAAAGCACCTGGTGTCCCATTCTGAGGTCAGAGAATAGAGGACATGGCCACGGCATGACTCACAGTACTTCCATCTTCAAGAGACCAAAGTATATGTTATTAATAAAACCTACATGGCTGTCGTACCCATGGGGAAGGTGACAGGGGAAGGAAAACAGCTTGCTTTGAGATGTGTCCAGGAACTGCAGCCGGGTGACTGTCTGCCTCGCATGGTTAGGTAAGTGGAATGAAGCTAGAGGAGTTTACCAGGCCCAAACTGTCACCCCTGAGACTACCTTCATCGGGTTCCTATACTTCCCCTCCCACATCCCATTCTACTCCCCTTGATGAACCTCTTTTAAAATGCAAATATGTTGTTCACCCTGCTGCTGGGATGTCCTGCCCTTCCTTTCTCTGATTTTTTCATTTTTTGAGACAGAGTCTCTGTCTGTTGCCCAGGCTGGAGTGCAGTGGCGCGATCTCGGCTCACTGAGACATCTCCCTCCCAGGTTCAAGTGATTCTCCTACTTCACTCTCCTGAGTAGCTGGGATTACAAGCATGTGCCACCACACTCAGCTAAGCTTTTGTGTTTTTATTTTTATTTTTGAGACAGTTTCACTTTATTGCCCAGGCTACAGAGTGCAGTGGCAAGATCTTGGTCCACTGCAGCCTCTGCCACCCGGGTTCAAGCAATTCTTGTGCCTCAGCCTCCTGAGTAGCTGGGACTACAGGTCAATGCCACCACTCCTGGCTGATTTTTTTTCTTTGACATGGAGTCTTGCTCTGTCTCCCAGGCTGGAGTGGTGCAATGGTGAGATCTTGGCTCACTGCAACCTCAGCCTCCTGAGTTCAAGCAATTCTCTTGCCTCAGCCTCCTGAGTAGCTGGGACTGTAGGCACATGCCACCAAGCTTAGCTAATTTTTGTATTTTTGGTCGAGACGAGGCTTCACCATGTTGCCCAGGCTGGTCTCGAACTTCTAAAGCTCAGGCAATCCGCCCACCTCAGCCTACCAGAGTGCTAGGATTACAGGAGTGAGCCACCACACCTGGCCAATTTTTTGTATTTTTAGTAGAGACAGGGTTTCACCATGTTGGCCAGGCTGGTCTCGAACTCCTGGCTGTTAAAATGTGCACACTGAATGAAGAGAACTCTCCCCCCACCCCCACACACAGGCTTTGTGTGAGCAACATGGCTGTTTATTAGCCTGGGTGCAGGTGGGCTGCAGCTGAAAAGGGCGTCAGCAAAGGGCAGTGGGATAGGAGTTGGTTTTATGTATTGTGGGGAAAGCAGTGGAAAGTTACAAAAGTTACTTTAGGGCGGTTTTTTGCAAGCTGGGAGGGGGGTCGTGGGGTATGGAGTCATAAGGTTGGCCAGGCTGGGAAGGGGATATAGGGCGTGGAGTTTGGCCAAGGTTGGTTACAAAATACTGTGGTCTTGTCAGTTGAGGCTGGAATAAGAAGCAATAGAGAATGTCTTAAAGTTAAGTAGGCACCGCAGGGGTTGATAATTTTTTTTTTTCTATAAGTTCATTTGAGCAGAGGGGCTTGATAATTTCTTCCTCTTTTCCTAACTTTCCAGCTCTTCAGGTTTTCTAATTCCAGAAGGCCCTCCAGAGGTGTACGTGTGGTTCATGGGGGTCGTCATGCTGTCCACAGTGCGGTCAGAACTTACACTGGCCTCAGGAGATCTGCCCACCCCAGCCCTCCAAAGTGCTGAGATTACACATGAGCCACTGGGCCTGGCCCTCTGATTTATTTTTTTCAGATCCAGTTCAAATGTTACTTCCTCTGCACTCCTTTTTCCAGACTCTCCTAATGCTTTGCCTCTGGCTCTGAAGTACATCATTTCTTTGTCTGTTTTTTTATCTTTTTATTATCATTTATAATAGAGACAGGGTCTCACTATGTTGCCCAGGCTGGTCTCGAACTCCTGGTCTCAAGCAATCCTCCTGCCCTGACCTTGAAGTACATCATTTGTAAATGTGGTAGTTGGTTCTATTAAAGGGAGCTGCA